ATACCAACCGTTAAAACGTGGCTCAGGACGAACCCAGGCGAAGCGAGGGTGAGAAGCTAGTACATATAATATATCAAAAACTACTAACTTAGACTACAAATTTACTTTTGATGGAGACATCTATCAAGGTGGCCGTCATTGATTTGAGGGCTGTAAGATTCTTGCTCACTTAAACCACTAGCGGAATATCATCTCTCCAATCCTACCATCGTTTTAGTGGGTATGCACAGCATCCCCGCTAACAGGACCAAACCACGCAGGTCATCTTGCTTAAAAATAGAACGTAACAATTAAATAACCTTTAAAACATCTGCAACATTAGTCTCTCCCGTGACTATGATTGGCTGTAAGGTATTTGAAATTTCGGGAATCAAAGCTCAAAATAAATTTGAAAAAAAAATAAACTTAAAAAGTTGTTTTATTTTAAACGTCAAGTACGTTATTTGCATAAAAGTATTATAAAATAATATATTATTTAAACATAATCGACTATACATTCATTGGTATCTTGCTATAATAACATCTTGGTAGTACGGAATCCTCGAGCTTGTCTGATTTTTAACTGGGCGTATGAACATATTTTAAAGTTAATTCAGATAATGCATTCATCATCTAATCAAGTTACTAAAAAATATGAAAAAGACAAAGCAAAAATATAATATTATCCTATGTAAGTCCCACTATAATTGACCCAAGCTATTTTAAAGTGTATTTTTAATAAAAAAACTGCAAAGAAAATTTAAATAGGCCCATTATAAAGAGTATGTGGAGTTGAATTAAAATTTAAGTGTTTTTTGAACATAAAGTTAATTAATTTTGTGTACAATGTCAGTGCTTGGATTTCTTACAAGTTAGTTTATTTTAGTTATTTGTTTTTATTTTTTGTTTTGTTATTGATGACTATAGAGAAAAAATCACTGATTAATTAGTATAAATGTATGTTTAGTATAAATACTTAAATGTAATTAAAATCTTCCTGTCGTATTGAAGGGAGACCCATGCACAGTATTAGGATTTTGAAAAGGGCTGCATAAAATCTAAACATATAATAAAATTCTAAATGAGTCGAGTCTGTACATTAAATATTTTTCGGAAAATCTTATTGAAATAGTCATTTTTATCGATACAGAGGCCGAATCTATAGTTTTAGAATTTTTGTCTGTCTGTCTGTCTGGTCTGTCTGGGGACGCATCACGAGAAAACTCCTGGGCAGATTTTGATGTGGTATGATAATAACTAGTTATCCGGGTTAACATATAGGATACTTTTTACTGCGGAAAATATCTCATTTCTGAAATGAATTTATGAAATCTATACTAACCAATTAAACGTACGTAACGTATATTTTGATGATGAGCGTCGCCACGTCGGGGGACCGCTAATACTTTATCATTATCAATCTTCTTTTCAATTGTATCCTGGTTTTTATTTTAATCACTTAGCAGTTTCTTACTTAAATCTTACTGATAATGTGAATGTACTCATTGTTTTTGTATAAAAAATCTAACCATACCTGTACGGTTTCACGTACATTTTTAGTTTTGCTTATTTTGCGCGATAGCTTCATTTTTACGAGTGCATTTAAAGATACTGAGCCGAACAGACGTGGTCAGTTAGAGAGTCGTCACAATTATACTGTAACTTTAGTAATTAAAGTATTCCACACTTACAAGTATTTTAACTTCTGCACTCCAAATTCTTACAACTAATTTGTACTGTTCTAAATAAGACAGTACAAGACGGATATTGGACCGAGAATGAACCGTGATTGGATCTATTGTGCGTTTGAGCCTAAACGTTTAACCGGCGCGGTGTTAGTGATTGAATGAGTTAAGGATTTAAATAAAAAAAAATTGGTTCTCGTACTAATGTATTATTCGTTTTAACCTTAAATTGCCATGGAGACCGCACAAATATGTATGTAGTGGAAAGTAAATTCAGTCACAGTTCAAGCAATATTTTATACCTATTTGCCAAATGGCGTTTTTTAGTTCCATCTTAGTATTTTTGTCGTATTTATTGTAATATTAGTAATGTTTTTGTCAAATATCTGTTTAGATTTATCTGTTTTAAAATTTGTTTCTAAATTTTATTTTATGTTTTCAGTACAGAGTGTCATGCACCTAAACAACTGCCAGAGAAATCGTCCGACATATCCACCGTAATATATTTTCTTATTTAATTTTTTACGTATTCAGTTTTTGAGCATTTTTTTTTCACCACTAGTTACACTTGCTCCATGACTTTACTCCACTTTTCCTCACTTTTTTACTTTATGTCTTCTCAGTCTTTTCTTTCTTTACACACGCTGCCACTCTTTTGATTTGTATAAACTAAGGAAATTGTAATATTCGAAAGCTCAATCTATTATAGTAATTGCAATTACTTTCAGGATAGTGTTTTATTACTTTCTTACTCGTGATAATTTAGGATTAACTGTCCTTATTGGTAATATACCGTAATATTATGAGTCTATTATGTAGATCGGCAACAATTTCAAGATTATAATCATCGAGGATATTTTAATTTGATACTAAACTACTCTAATTTTCATTGATCTTTTCCAATTTCACATACAAAGCCTCTTGATGAGTTTTAATTGAGTCTTTTATATTAGAAGTTGCGGATTAAAATATCACGAAGAAAAATTCCATTTCTTGGTTTATTTCAAACCTAAATGGTGAAGTGTTTAGGATAATTATTTAATACAGTGCGAAAATTTGACCGAATATGATCAGTTCCGCTTGATCTACTCTGTAAATCGTAAAGTATGTATTCCTTCAAGATTTTTATACACAAGCTGTCTTTTAATTAAACGTCAAAATAAAATACATTTGGGCAAAACCCACTATATAAACTCATAACCTAATTATAATATCCTCACAAAATTTCAGCCATCGCGACAAAAGTTACTGAGACTAATTCCCTACTAGCCATAAAATATCAAAGTATGTGCATTGTGCAAAGTGCACTTTTCATTCATCCATTCTTATAAGCCAAGTGGAGGCCAAACCTTTTGGTTTTATGCAATTCCTATGGGACAGAATTAAAATAAACAATCCAATAATACTTTTGACTCTATCTAGGTCTTGGATCTAAGATCATTTCGTCTATCCGTAAAAACTGGTCGTATATTTATAGAGAAGTGCATATTAGATGCTCTTTTCTACAAATAAATTATATTAGATGCAGTCCTAACTTATAATATACTCACTGCGAAAAATGAGTACATTTAACGTTACAGTTCAAGCTTTTATTTTTTGTTATTTTTGAAACGGATATATACTCAACTTTAAGCAATGATATTCGCATTTGAGCGTGACGCGTCCAGTGCTCTAACAAATTGTTACAAAACTGTGTTGTTTCGAAATTGTGACGTTCATATGAAATTTATGAGTTGCCATTTATAGAAATATCTCTAAAGTCAGATGCCATTTTGTAAAAGCTTTTTTGATAGCTTTTTATAGGAATCATAATTGTACGTTATATACTGATATGTTTATCAATAATTTTATTGACAACCAAGTCAATGGTCAAGAGACATACAGCGTAGGCTTTGTAACAGCACACAACAACTACTTTAAACTTATTATATTTGGGTTAATTTAAAAATAACGAAATAAATTATATTTCGTTGGACATGGACTGTAATAAAAAACATTTACGTAACATATGTTTCGTCGATACATTTAATTGTTCTACTCTCCTCAAATCTATCGAGAGGTCAAACGCATCCGACTTGTTTGATCTGCCCGCCTTCTCCACGCTTCACCCTCGTCACGTACGTGTACTTGCATTTCACACAATACGTCTTATTTAGAAAATATATAATTATACCAATTGTAAATACAATTTTGAATGATTTTTACTAATCCTTTATTAGAGTTACACAAATATTTCACATTTTTAATACCTCCACGACCGCGGACACGCCGGCGTGTCAGTTAAAAATTTCTTAGAATTTTAATTAATTCCTTAGAAATTTACCTGGAGGTTTTAATTAAAAATTGAAAAATGATAGTCAAGTATTTTGTTATTTTGTGGTTAGGCTGTCTGTAACAAATATAATGCCTTTGATACATCTAACGCCTTAGTCTCTTCCGTGACCATGATTGCTGTAAAGCATTCGAAACGTCGGAAACCAAAGATCAAAATAAATTCGCGAAAAAATTCAAAAATATAGTTTTATTTAAAGTGATTTTACTGTAAGATATGATTAATTTAATCTTAATGATAATTGTATTTTTTTATGATTATCGAAATAATTCTTTTTTTTCAGTTCTCTATGATCTTAAATGAAACTCTCAGCAAATAAAATAATTACTTTGTCAGAGCTATTAATATATTATTAAAATATCTACGTTTTAAGGAAAAACTACTAAAAAAACTGTACATAATATGATAACACTATGTTATTGGCTACGCCTACTATAGACCTTATGAACTGGTGACAGTTTATTCAACATCACTTTCTCACTTCTATATACTCTTATCAGCAGAGAAAAAATTCTTAATACCCTAATCTGACAAAAAACAGGTTATTTTAATTTTTACGGATTAAAGCAACTATTTTTGATCGCAAATCCTTTTAATAAATATTATAAACAAATCATATAGAGTCGAAATGTTTATTTAATATTTGATTTTGGGGTGATTCGTGATGCCGTCTATTGTTGCTTCTACTGACATTTTGGCATTTTTTTTTAAATAGTAATTAAAGAAATGTCTATAGAAGGATAAGGTTACATGGTTAATATATGCTCAGCCTTGGAAATGTTACCATTTTCTTTTTAAAGTCAATATTTTATTTTTAATTTAAATATTTTGTTAATAATATAAATGTTGATAATTTCTTCGATATTATTTACTGTTTTTCCTTAGTGAATACAAAGATCTAAGCGAGGACTATAAAAAAAAGCAAATCAATGACAACCCGACGTATGGCTACGAGCCCTACTGGGTAGACGGTAGTTGGGTGTTCGATGAAAATCTTCCAGAAAATGGATCCACCACATCTATGCCTCAAGTATGCGGAGAAGAATGCAACTATTTATATCGAGAGTATGTTTATCTATACTAATATTATAAAGAGGTAAAGTTTGTGAGATTGTGAGTTTGTGACGTTGTAGGGGGTAATCTCTGGATCTACTAAATTGATTTAGATGAAATTTGGTAAGAAGATAGTTTGAGACCCTAGAAAGGACATATTTTTATCCCGGAAATCATGCCTTAAGGGGGAGAAAATGGGAATGAAAGTTTGTACGGGGAATCAACCCGAGCGAAGCGAGGGTGAGTCGCTAGTTGTATATACATAGACAGAATATACTACATTATCTATATTTAATAATAAGAGTAGCACACTCAAACAAACAAAACACCAAGAAAATAAAATAGCAATTTCTTTAGCTTATACTCATATATGTAATATTAGTATAGCTACTGCTTATAATATTTTCTTTTGTTATTCAAAGGATCGGCCAAGTCTGTGGACGGCTTTCCAGTAATAAGCACTCTAAGGGTTGTAATAACTGGTTCTACTGTTATGGAGATATTCTGGACGACTTGACCGATGGATTCCAGACTTTCGATACGTATTGCAAGTTTTTAGACATACAATGTAGATCAAGCTTTGAACATCGTAAATATTTATTAATTTATACACTTACAATTACTATGTATTCAACCCTTTGTAACGTCCCAATGCGGGGTACGGGCCTCCCTTGAATATGAAGGGGATCAGGCTATAGTCCACCTTGCTGGCCAAGTACGGGTTGGCGAACTGCACACGTCTTTCGAAAACTTGCTAGGTTCTCTCAGACATGCAGATTTCCTCACTATGTTTTCCTTCACTGTAAGGCAGAGTTGCGATATCAGAGACGCGAGACACGGGATTTGAACCCGCTTCACTCAGTTCCCCATGCAGGTGCATCACCACTATTCTTAATTTAATTATTACATAGAATTTCATTCTACCGAGGTGTTATCCAAGATATGGGATTTTGCCCAAATTAAAGGTAGGCTACCTTTAATTTTAATGTAACGTATGTCCATTCCTAGGATGCAATCTATGCCCTTGCCAAATTTTATCGAAATCTGTTCAGCGGTTTAAGTTTGAAAAGGTATCAGATAGAGTTACTTTCACTTTTATAATATTAAAGGATTTTTTCTTTTCTTTATTTCAGGATGGATTTTAGTACATAGTGGACCATGTATTGAAAGACAAGAACTATCATTTAAGCCCATGAGTAGTGCTGATGAACCTGTTAGCAGGATGAGCTGGTACTTTACAGAATTGGAAAACTCTTTAAAGAACCATACGACACTTCCACCTCTTGATGAATTTCCAAAGATATAAAATTATACTTTTCAATAGATATACCAATGGTTTTTCGTTTCAGTATAGATGAATATCGATTCACATGACGTAATGTCGTAAAACTTATGATAACTTACTATACTTACCCTACCTTCGATCTAGTAATTGGACTACTATTATGAATTTAAATGTTTGTATGTATGTCTGTATGTTTGTTACTCTTTAAAGCTTAAACGGCTGGACGGATTTAGGGGAAATTAAGAACACAGACTTCGGCTATGTTACGCACGGAGAGAGGATAAAACAATACACAATAGTAATCTACAAAACAAATGTTTTTTATTAGCTCCATAATATGGAATTAAGTATGAAGTTCTTTTTACTTCTAGAACAAGTTATAAAATAAAATCTTGTTTTTAGTACATATCTTTTTACTTTGGATATGGGTGTTACTAATTGACAAACGTCTGTCAATGTTACAATCAAGCCCATATCGAGTCTTTAGAAACTTAATAGTCTTGAGAGCCGTCCTTTGATTTTGACGTTACGTGCTAGTCGGATGTAATGTAACATGAAGTACCTTGATAAATCGTCTGGATAGATGTCTTAGGTATACGAAATTCGTTATATAATCGGATTATATTATAAAAGCAAAAGTTTTTATATCTGTGTGTATGATTGTTACTGTCCTTTAATTTGAAACGACTAGCTGAATTTGAATATTTAACACATAGATTATGACCTGGAGTAAAACATTGGCTATTATTGACTAGATACTAACTAGGTGTCGGTTGTTAGTTTTTGTCTATACTAATTTTATAAAGAGGGGATAATCTCTGAATCTACTGAATCGATTTATATAAAGTTTGGTAAGAAGATAGTTTGAGATCCTGGGAAGGACATAGGATTTTTATTCCGGAAATCAACCCTTGAGGGGGTGAAAATGGGAATGAAAGTTTGCATTGGGAAGCAAGCCAGGGACGAACGAGCGTGAGTCGCTAGTCATGTATAAAACTCATAATGTACTAGATTTTATTATCATTCTACTGTAGCTTCCTGAAAGCTATAAACGTATCCTGACAAGTTACACGATGGTTCAAAATTGCTCAAATGTTTTGAATCAATTGAATCAATAAACCTAATTCAATATACAAATACAACCTTAAACATCAGAAAAATTAGTATGACATAAGAATTCTCATATATCATAACATTTGGTGAATGTGTGAAGATAATGAGGGCTACTAAGGGCCAATGTTAGAAGAACGCGTGTTGAATAGCAAGAGGCTCACTCGATCATGAGAGGTCAGATAAAGGGAATAAATGGTAGCGATTATTCTCTTTTCCTGCCTAACAAAAGTCTACGATTATTTCAAATGTTCGCATTATCCCGAGGAAATATTTTACTCTGTGATTGAGTATTGGGCGCCGTACTAACTCTAAATGATAATTAACGGGCATGTCTTTAAGAGAACATTCATGATGTTATTATTCCTTTGTTGGATGCATAGTAAATTATTCTTTTGTAAACATTTCCGTATAGTAATTTCCCTCTAAATATCTGTATATACAGAAGCACTAAGTTTTCCATTAAAATTTAAGTTATTTTATTATTTTTTATAAGCTTTTATTTAACTTGCAATGTTTTGTAGTTTGTGTGGGTCAAATCTTGCAAGCTGAATTAGAATCACTTCCTTTTATCCTATAGAGTTGAAAATTTACATATTAGTTCAGATCATGACAATGAATTTTTGATAGTTAAGACCTAATTTTCCATCTAGGATTGGCTTCAGACTAAGCAACTCCTTAATGGGTAACAGTACAGACATGAAATTTTATATACGCATTCAATTGTGTGTAGCTCTTTCTAAAATTTACCTTGACTTGGCTGCTGCGTTCAGGGTTGGTTCCAAATGACAAATCTCCTCAGCGGCCAACAGCACAGTTACGAAATTTCGTAAGCATATTAAATTATAATAGTCATAGTCAAAGCCATGGTGGACCTTAAAACGCTAAAGTTCACTATGGCCTTGCACCCATCGTATGAGAAATCTTCTCAGCAGTCAACGGTATAAACATGTTTTGTTTATTAGCGCCTTAACACAAAAGCTTGTTTTTAAAAATATTTTGTTTTTACTATTAATATTTATTTCTCTGTATCATCATGTAATAAAAGTGTAATAAAACAAAACATTCGAGTATGTTTAGTATGTGTAAAAGTATTTGGAATTTATGTTTCATATGATGATTTTTAAATAATTTTATAAATAATTTGCGTTTTGTTATTTCCCTCACGGTAAATGTATCATTTCCTAATGTATTGATGTAGCTGTTAGAGGAATCCCATTTCAACTCTGTGCCATTGTTTTTATGAGACAAAATTTGTACGAAGAGTCTATTTGCTCGAAGCACAATATTTGTATATACAATATACAGAATCTATTGCAACTGCATTATGTTTTTTATATTTTGAATGGGCGAAAACCATTAAAATTCAAAAGTATTTCAATACAATTTTGCTACAACTATTTTTAACTTCTATACACAAATGGTGTTTTTGGCCGACTGCAGTAAAGGAGGGTTATGGGTTTGACATGTATGTATGTATGTATGACTACGTAGAAAGCCAACTAAACAGAAGGGAACAATTTTTTTTTTTTTATGTCGGGAAATGCATTTACGCATACCACCTGATCCCCCAGGTGGTGATGTGGGGCTCACCGGCTAGAAAAGCCGGCACTACCCACTAAAACCCGATATTCCCCTCCCCTCCGCCTTAATGGGACGCCGCAGGATCGCTTGCGCATAACTACTACGGCGCCCCGGCGGCAGGTCTGCCAACGGCTGACCACCATACCGATGGGGCTGCTCCACAGTCAACTCTGCTACACCAGAGAGGTACCCGGAGCAGCCCCATTAAACCGAAACTCCGCCCACCGAAGTGGGCCACCTCCAATCGGCTGCAGAGGACAGGGAGAGCGGCAACGAAACACCGACACTCCTCTTCCCCTGCAGCCCCACCGCGTCCGCCATCAAACGGTAGCGGCCCCGTCTAGGCCGCGGAAGGTAGGGAGAACGGCGCACCGAAATACCGGCACTCCTCTCCCGCCGCGGCCTACCCCTCCGCCGAATGCGGGCCTGCGACCACAGTCCCGCAACCGGCACCCATCATCCGGTTGTGGGACCAAGCGGTCCCACCACCGGTGGCCGCAACGTCTTCGGCTCGAGGCCTAGACGAGCGGCCCCATCCAAGCCATTTGGTCCGCGCCGGATTTCTCCGGTACCACCCGCCGCCCTAAGCGGGTGGCATTCCCCTATCCGCCACCTGGGGACGCGCCCGGTAGGAGTTGGCTTCTCCCCCGGGAGAAGGGAACAATACTTTAATGAAAAAAAAACAGTATTATGCAGTCGGAAACATACATACATGTAGCAAAGATAAAACATATATATACATATTTATAAAATGGGAAATTATGTAATTTTTTAACAGCCCGTCATTATTTTATTAATGAACTAGCATTTCCCGCGGCTCCGCCCGCGTTCAAATGACCAAAAACCAAATTCTAAGGTTTTACATATTAGTATACTCTTATATCGCAGTTTTTGTATTTTTTCTCAGAAATGAGACATTTTCCCGAGTCAACATATAGGATACTTTTTACCGCAGAAAAATATCTCATTTCTGAGAAAAAATACAAAAACTGGTTAGAGTAAAACACGATGATACTATATACATACATTTTAGTAAGTTAACGTACTAAATATGCCAAAAACTATTAAAAATAGCTAATCTTGAAAAAGTATATCAATAGCACTATTTTATTCATTAAAAAAGTTATTTTAATAAATATTTATTTTTGCATTATTTAGATATTTCAATTTGTCAATAGATGTCACCATGTATGTGTCTTTACGTACACGTAGTTTTAATTCCAAATAATTGAATGGTCAAATTAGACCTTTCTATGTTTTTATTAGAATTACTACTAAATTACTCGCGATAATGATGATAATACAAATTATTAAAACAACAATCTTTTTGGCTTTATAAAATAGTTACATCTATAGATACATTAAAATGTAATCATTTTTTGGAAAATCTTATTGAAATACACATTATTATCGCTAACAGAGGCCGAACCTATAGTTATAACGATTTTTGTCTCTCTGTCTGTCTGTGACCGTATCACAGAAAAATCACTGGAGGGATTTTGAAGAAATTTGGTCTGGTGATAGCTGGTTATCCGGGTCAACTAATATACTAATACGAGTATACTAATATGTAAAAACCTAAGAATTTGGCTTTTCGTCATATGAACGCAAGCGGAGCCGCGGGCATTGCTAGTTTTATTATATGTATAGGTTAATACTAACGCTAGGAATAATAAAATCTGTAAAAAATATTTTGTACTGAACATATTTTTTTATATTTTTCACTATCCAAGCGAAGTCATATAAAATAAAGAAGCTTTTTAAGGCTATAAAGCTATTGACAGTTAGTAATCTAACGAGACGACATACAACCAACCGTCTGCACTCTACATCGGGGCGGAATGCTGGAAAAGGATGCCCTTTTATATAAAAAGAACGGATCTCTATATTCTGTTTACTATAAAAAGAATCATATTGTACGGTAAGAAAGTTTAATTTTGATTGAAAATGGTAGGTGTTAAAGCGCTTATACAACAATCTAAGAAAGCCAGACGCCGTGAAATGCATCGCAGGCAGTACAAAAGCAAATTCAGTGAGGTCACTCCCTTATGGAGTTACAAATTATAGTGATAGATGAATGTTCTTTTAATTAATGAAACTATATGTTTGTTTACCATTTAATTTTTTGCGTTGATCATGTACATATATTGATATTTATTTTCATTTTTAACCAACGACGCCAAAAGAAGGGAGTTATAAGTTTGACGTGTATATCTGTGTATCTGTCTGTTGCATTGTAACGGCCAAACGGATGAACTGATTTAAATTTGTTTTTTTTATTAGAAAGATAACATGATCGGCTGAAAGAATAATATTCTTTCAGCCGTTTGTAGGCTATCAGCTCTTTTCAGTTAAAAAGACGTGAAAAACTTCAACAGATCTAATCGATTCGAAACTTGGTATCCCGTTACTTTAATGACATTGCATTGTTTGGTAACCTGATGCGGCAGCATTACTTGGAATTTGCAAGATACTAAAGTCTTTATGAAAATACTGCAGATACATCGTGTTCCAGCTCATTGAAATGACTGCAATGAATAGGTTATTACGTTGGAGTTTTTTTTTATTTTTTTAGAGTTATTCACTGTCTAATAAACTATATAACCAAATATGCCTATTATGTAAACATACAAGGGGCATAGTGTTTTATCTTTATTTATATTTAGTGTTATTTTGGATTAATGCTTTGTATTTCAAATAGGCATTTCACCTCTTAATTAGAGCACAACGATAAGCAACCAAACATCGCTTTTCCGCTATCAATTTTTAATATACAATTTTAATCTGTGACTGATAACTGTTTCATATATTTACGACAAAAATGTTCTTGAATCTATCTTATTATTTTATTTATTACCTTAATTACATTATTTTGAGTTATGTGATACAAAATATTGCATATATTATATAGTTGGCACGGAACCCTCGATGGGAGGATAAATACGCAACTGTCCGATTACGAAGAAATCAATAATATTTAGAACTATGAGTAATTGCACTAATTAGCATGCTAAATTGTATTTTACAAATTTTATCAAATAATTATAAAATTAATATTTAAAATATAACTGCCTCGTTGGTCTATTGCATGTACGATTGTAGATCTGTCGGTCCTGGGTTCGAGCCAAATATAGTTTTTAGATTTTATCTGTAAAGAAATTCTCTTTAACAGAAAGTTAATAAATAGATAGTGTTACTCCACCAATATATTAAGCTCTCGCTCCTGTGCTAAATTTTTTCCTGGTTCCATTGTATTCAGTCCTTTCTGACATCTTACTTTGGGCATAGGCCTCCTTTAAATACGAGGGAAATCAGGTCATAGTCCACCACGCTGGCCAAGTGTGGGTTGGCGGACTTCATATATCTTTCGAAAACTCGTTAGGTTCAATCAGACATGCAGGTTTCCTCACGATGTTTTACTTCACTGTCAGACTACCGCTAGTATTAGGTATATTATATAGTAACTGAACAACATCAAGTAGTAAAATCAATTCCATTAATAACCTATCTTATTAAGCTTAATCCGGTCACAAAGCGCAAATAACTGGACGACCGTAAACAAGTGGGGGCTTGTCGATAAAATAATTAGTGGAAATATGCCACGAGTAATGACTCCGTATAAAATATAAGTTTACTAAAATAGACATTTTAAATAAAAAATAAGTATTACTTTTGTAACATTCAGTTATTATATGTGCCAGTTTTTATTTGCCAGGATTTTTGATATGTCAAGTGGACAATCGGTGATTCGCATTATATAAGTTAGGTATATAAAACTATAAATATAAAGTGAGTATACAGAAAAGGCGAGAAATATAATTGTTAATTGCCAAATATTTGTTTTCCTGGAAAATTCTTCTAAACTGTTTTACTTGGTGACGTTTGGCTCAGTTTTAGTGACTTTACTTGCTGTGCTAGCGGTTGCAGATTCAAGTTCCGCTGAGGGCATTCATTTGTGTGATGCGTACAAATGTTTGAGCTCCAGTCATTTGTGTTTATATTTATAATATGTATGTATTTAAAAGTTATATATGTGTAGAGTATCAACTATCTGCAATCCATAACACAAGCCTCGTAGCTTACCATGGAACTAGATGGTGTTGTGTGTTAATGTCCCAACATATTTATTTATTATATAATTATTACATAATTATGTAGGGTTAAAATTTGATTTTGAATTTAGTTTTCAACGGCTATTAATTATATGTATGTATAAAGAAGTTCACTAGCTTCTGGCAATACAGGCCATGAGACTGGGAGGCGGCCTACCTCGGTGGGCGGTGTACCATGTGGGTTGCTGGTACCTGTACCTGTAGTACCTGGTACTTCTGTGATAGTAGAGTAGACTGTGGGAGCAACCCCATAGTTATGGTGATCAGCATCAGCAGGCTCGGAAAAAATGTTGTGCATATGTACTCTATGATATATATATCTATCTTAACGACTTTTATAAAAAATATTGGCTATTTAACTGCCCTTTGCACGCCTACGTTCTCATATTGATACATTTTTAAATCTCTAACCGTAATAATAACTGAAAATAGAATTTAGTAATATGTAAATTAATTCAATAAAACGATAACCAAGCAAAATTGATACCTACACACGTGAACACGGTGAACATGTATAGATTTGACATTTAATTAAGGTGACCTAAATATTCACTCGATTCCATACACATCTATGTGGAAAATAATAAAACATAATTACGCAAACAACAAGTTAACAAGCTTTCTGGAACGTATGATTGCAAAGAAAGCACTCCATTTACGCGGGACTCTAATCCCGCAGAAGTCGGAATCGAGCGTAATGAGCTGAGCGCAAAGAATAGTATCAGTGGCATAATTATGATTTATATTATGTTGATGTATAGACGCTTTAAATAGATCAGAAGAGAAGTGATGTAACTTACGACTAATCTCCGAACTAACTGTTGGACCGATTTAAATGAAATTTTGCATGGTGGTACCTTATACCCTCGGTCAGTATTTTAGATAGTTATCATCCCGGAAAATTAAAGAGTTCCCGTGGGAGTTAAAAAACTATCTGTGTGTAACTGTTAGTGTTTGTGTACTAAGCTGTATAGTAACTTATACAGCTTAGTACACAAACACTACTAATTGGATTTTAATGAAACTTTACAATAATATAGTTTATACATCAAAATATATGCTACTTTGATTTATTTTTGTTAGTCTAGAGGCGAACCCGAGCGAAGCGAGGGTGAACCGCTAGTATAATATAAAACTTAACTACATGTAGGTATATTGTATAATGCTCAAGAGGCCTTTTGACAACTTAATTAACACCAAACTCTATCAAAGTATTCAAAGTGCCGCGCATATCTAGTGGAAAGTTATTTGATGTATAATTAACAAAATGGATCACTCGTTTAGAGTTACTATTTATTTGATTCCTCCTGAACTCGTTTGATGGACTTCCTCTACTCTTATCTTTTTAGGTAAAACTGATATTTCATTATTATATTTATTATTAAAAAAATATTTCAAAAAGTCATAATGGTAGTAAGCCACATTTATTTATTAAAATTTGAAAAAAATGTTCAAAATTAACAAATGGTACCCTGTATAATAATGACACTACGTGACATTTCGTGATATGCCGTGGGGCATCGGCAGAATAGAATAGTGCTCCCCTCGAGTGCCAGGTGTCGTAAGAGGCGACTGAGGTACTCGGAGTGGACCCCCGTAAGACACGAGTCAGGTCCTGCAACCGAACCAGCTCCACATGTAGCGACTCGTCGTTCCTATGGGCCTCGCTGGCGAGGTCGAGAGGGTGGTGTAGGCAGTGGGAAAACCTGCATTTCCTAAATTAAATCCCAGGCACAGCAGTTAACATTTGTGGAGAGGACACTCCGCCATCGCAATCTCAAGAGCGATGAAACCAACACGGAGAATGGCAGTTACCAGTGATAAGTCTGCGCGAATAGGCGTAAGCGTGGGCGCTAGGGGTCATTCTTGACAGTGGGAGGGCCCATTGTAGGCCCACTGACCAGTTACCGCCCGCGCTAGCTGGGCAGCCCCCGGCCAATAAGGTACTGGTCCGTCTTAGCATTGACCTGTTTCCGTTGGGTGGAGGAAGCACTAGTTAAAACCTAGATAGTCAGTGCTGTAAATTTTGTCACCTGCGCAAAAACAGAAGAAAAGACTTCAAATTAACCAACCACACTTATACATGCGCTTAGCGACATGGAATGTCCGCACAATGAGGACAGTCCTCCCGGAGACCTGCGGAGGTTCAGGCTGCGCCCAAGACCTGCGCAAAACTTCTGTGATTGACACTGAGTTGACGAGACTTAACATCACCGTTTCGGCTCTTCAGGAAACTAGACTTCCTGACACTGGATCCATCAAGGAAGCTCATTACACATTTTTCTGGGTAGGAAAAGGTCAACATGATAATCGTGAGCATGGTGTGGGCTTCGCCGTCCGTAACGATCTCCTTTCGTGTATTGAGACTCCTCATGGAATATCAGAGCGCATAATGGTATTACGACTCTCTAGTAACTGCGGTTTTATAACCTTGATTTCCGCATATGCACCTACATTAGTCTCAACACCTGAAGTTAAAGATCGTTTCTATGACCAACTTACGCAAGCCATAAAAGCGGTACCTTCTAGCGATCACCTGCATATCATGGGTGATTTTAACGCCAGAGTAGGCCAGGATAACATCGCTTGGCCAGATTGCCTCGGTAACCATGGTGTTGGCAGATTAAACGAAAACGGTCAGCGTTTGCTCGAGTTCTGTTCCAACCACCAATTTTGTATTACCAATACATACTTCCGAGGCAAATCTACGCACAAAGTCTCGTGGAGGCACCCGCGTTCCGGACATTGGCATCAGCTGGACCTAATCCTGACTCGGAAAAAATACCTTCGCTATGTCCTCCATACACGTTCTTATCAAAGTGCTGATTGCGACACGGACCACTCGCTTGTAGTGACAAAATTGGCTATTATCCGCAAAAGGATTCACTCTTCGAAGCCTCCCGGGAGAAAGAGAATTGATCTCGCTCAGACCAGGATTAGTGAGAAAGTTGAGTCTTTTAAAGAGCAATTATGCTCGGAGATCTTATCTTGGGATCAAAGCGTGTCACTTCAAGAAGAGTGGGAACGAATCAAAAAATCCCTTTCAGAAACTGCAGGCAAAGCTTTCGGATATCAGAAAGCGAAGACTGAGAACTGGTTCTTACAAAACATCGAGCATCTGTATCCTCTTATCAACTCAAAACGCCTTGCTGCTCTAAATAATCGTATGAACCCGTCTCTTACAACTCGAAATGAACTCGCAAAAGCGAAGTCAGCACTGCAGCGGACTGCACGTTTCTTTGCGAACGAGTACTGGCTTGACCTTTGCCAACACATGCAAAGGAGTGCGGATGTGGGCAATTTAGGGGGCGTCTACTCGAGTATCAAACAGGCACTTGGCCCAATTCCTAAAAAGACTGCCTTACTAAAAGAACCCGACGGTACGATTATCAGTGACAGTAGACGTCAGATGCAAAGATGGGTTGAGCACTACACAGGTCTTTACTCACAGCCCGTCAACATTCAGCCAGAAGCTGTGGATTTCATTCCTAGACTTGCGACTTGGCACGAGCTAGATAATGAACCCACAGAGGAAGAGCTTCAAAATGCCATAAAGCAAGTCAAGGTCGGCAAGAGTCCTGGTGGAGATGGCATATGCCCCGAGCTGCTAAAGTTCAACTTCGTTGCACCGCTCTTGCATAATCTCCTGGTAAAATGCTGGTCCGAGGGCACGGTGCCTCGGGACATGCGTGATGCCAATATTGTCACTCTTTACAAAGGCAAAGGAGACCGCGGCGATTGCCACTCATATCGTGGTATATCTCTTCTAAGCGTGGTTGGTAAACTGATTAGTCGAGTAATTCTCAGCAAACTACAATATCTGGCCGATCGCATTTATCCTGAGGCTCAGTGCGGATTCCGGGCTGGGCGATCAACCATTGACATGATCTTTACATTACGCCAGATTCAGGAAAAGTGTCGAGAGCAGCAGACTCCTCTCTTCATAGCCTTTGTAGATCTCAACAAGGCCTTTGATACTGTGAGCAGAGAGGGTCTCTATAGAGCACTCGAGATAGTGGGCTGTCCACCAAAACTCCTCAGTCTCATTATATCATTTCACAAGGACATGAAAGGGTCTGTAGTCTTTGATGGAAATTTATCCGATCCTTTTGATATGCGCAGAGGCGTGCGGCAGGGTTGCGTGTTGGCACCTACCTTGTTTGGGATTTTCTTTTCGTTGCTTTTAAAAGCTGCCTTTGGCGACGACCAACAAGGAGTCCACCTTCATACAAGAACTGATGGGAAGCTCTATAATATCTCCCTATTAAAATCTAAGCGCAATCGAAAAGACCTTTACATAGACAGTCTTTTATATGCTGATGACGCCGCCTTTGTCACAACGTCTTCCGATGAGCTTCAAATCATGATGGATAAGTTCTCTCATGCATGTTACCTATTCTCTATGTCGATTAACGCCAAAAAAACTGTGATACTAGGCCAAGGATGCTCAGAAAAACCAGTAATATTACTGAATGGCACTGCATTAGACGTAGTTGACAAGTTTTGCTACCTTGGTTCAACCGTGACGAGCAATCTCTCGCTTAACGTAGAGATCGACACACGCATCGGCAAAGCGGCGACTATGTTTGGAAAGCTTCGTACAAGGGTGTGGGACAATAACCACCTCACAGCTCGAACCAAAATAATGGTATACCAAGCGAGCATCCTCAGCATACTCTTGTACGGAGCTGAGACCTGGACTACGTATGCAAAACAAGAACGTCGACTTAACGCTTTCCACATGCGTTGTTTACGCAGTATTTTGGGCATTACATGGAAGGATAGGATAACCAACGAAGAAGTCCTTGCGATAACGCAACTTCCCAGCCTCACTGCTTTGCTTAAATTGTAGATAGTTGATACCTTGCTCTGTTAAAAGTAAAAATAAATCTATTCCGCGGGAGCTGTACATTTTTGCGGGATAAATATGATATTTCAAACTATAATCTATCTCTGTGCCAAATTTCATCCAGATCCGTTCAGCCCTGCTGGCGTGATTGAGTAACAAACATCCATCCATCCAAACTTTCGTGTTAATATAATAGTAGTATGATAAATGTATCTATACATATAATAAAATTGCAACTAAGCCTGTACATTAAATATTTATTGGAAAATCTTATTGAAATAAACTGAACTGATTGAAATAAAAAAAATATATGTATCTCATTTCTGAGAAAAAATACAAAAACTGAAATGTAAGAGTATACTAATATGTAAAACCTAAGAATTTGGTTTTTGGTCATCTGAACGCGGGCGGAGCCGCGGGCAATGCTAGTTATAACATATTATCGCAAATGTTAAAAATATTTTCTAATGATTAAGAATGATATCTTGAAATTTATATAGCAATTTGGTTTAAAATCTACATTTTACTTTAGCTTCAGTTTCATTGAAGCATAATATGTCAAGTTTTCAAATTCTAATTATATTTTACGCGTTGAAATAAAATATGTGTAAATTTTCATTTTATAATTAAGTATGAAATATTTTCGATCTCGTATTAGAAATTTAATATGAAATATAGAGCGGAGGCAATGTAGCAAATTACGATGTGATATTTTACAAGACTTCACTAATTGGATATTAATTAAGTAGGTACCTACGCATGACTAAAATTTGTTGAACCCGTTGTTGTCTTTAATTTAGTCAGTAAAGTCAATATACTCAGATTAATGAATTATATACGTAGATGAAGTCCGCCAAAATAATGTCAAAGTCAAAAATAGTAGCGTGCTTAGCTGTTTATGTTTTCTTAGAGAATAAGAAAAAAAATATACATGTAAATATATACATGTAATAAAATTGTAACTGATTGCTGTCTGTACATGGGGGATACTTGAGAAAATCTATCATTGGGGTCTTTATTAACGCAATTTTTAGAATTTACGTCTCTTTATCTGTGCGTTTGTGCGCGGTAATCTCAGAAACGGCTTAACTGATTTGAGTGCGGTATTCTCTTATGTATTTTGGTAACCTTCACTTAACATTTAGTAATTGTTTCAATCGGTTCATAAATAAAAAGTCATGTCGATTTAAAGAATCACTTAGGGACGAACCCGAGCGGAGCGAGAGTGAGCTGCTAGTGATGTATATAGCTGTACTACAGTAATACAGCATAAGAAATTGCATAGGGCAAAAACCATATCTCTTGCACAAAGAGGTTGACACAGCACACACACATTGTGGTGGTCTGCTTCGGCAGACCTGCCGTCGGGGCGTCGTAGTTGAATGCGCAAGCGATCCTGCGACGCCCCATTAAGACGGGGGAAGGTTTTGTTGGGTTTTAGTGGGTAGTACTGGCTGTATTACGCCGGTGAGTCCCACACGTCGTGCGTAAATGCATTTCCCAACTTTAAAAAAAAAAAAAAAAAAAAAGCACACACACACCTTCTAACCCCATTGAAGTTGTTATACATGTACAATGTACATAGTACGTTAAATACTATGTATATACATAAGTATATTTAGTTGTCATCTATAATAACGGTTGTAACGATTTTTATCTATTCTATTTAGATAAAGTTTGGCTTTTTAAGTAATATCTATGGTGTCTTTTATGAAAAAACTTATAAGCTATAATTTTTTTCTTACTTGTCATATTTGTTAAATATAAAAGCTAAATTAAAAATTAAATTAAATATCTACGTTTATACTTTAATGCGTTACTCGCGTTACATAGATTCGAAATTCCATGAATCTAGATATTCCTTTTTTCATTTAGATTTTGTTCGATTTGATTTTGGAATACGGAACACATACATACTAATATCAAAAATTGTTCTCTAAAATAAATGCATTTAGGTGCTTAAATATGATAAACAAATTAAGAAATCGAGTTCAAAAATCGTACGTTTGTGGAAAGCCTAACTTTCTCAAAATAACTTTTTTTACTAACAACACAAGAAATTTGAAATTTTTTGAGGTTCCTCAATGTATTTTTCTAGTGGTATTGGCTTGTCACACACGTTAGTTAAGTTTTAATTAAATTAAGATTTTCCAATACTTGTGCTAAGCGCGATGTCAAAGTTGAGCGTATAGTAAAGGTTAATTAATTTATATTGAACTTAAACGAGTCACGTTGTTTTTAAAAGAGAAATTATCAAGCCAGTAAAATTATTTTATGAATATTATATCAAACTTAAAATAGTGTTAGCTAAGATATACTGTACCAACTGCTAAGAGTCCATAAAATGAATGCAAATAAAAATATGCCCAAACATTTTTATGGTCAATACTCTATCTATCTACTATGTATGTTTATCAATTATTTCTATTTATCAAAATGATTATATTTTTTATTATTTCTCTCGAGTAACTTCACCATATGCTAAAGCTCATTTATCCATACTATCTTACTACTATTAACATGCGAAGGTTTGAATGAATGGATGGATATTTGTTACTCTTTCTTTTTGGGTCTGGATGTTTGTCACGGAGAAAGAAAATCTGGAATAATACAAAAGTTATTTTTTTTCCCGGAAAAATGTATGGTTCCCGTGGGATAGCTTTTTTGTCCAGAGACAAACCCGAAGCGAAGCGAGGCGAGTCACTAGTCTAGTATATTTAGATAATGGTTTCGATAGCATCAGAATATGTATAACATAATTAATAAGAAATTAAAAGAAAATTAATAAGAAGTCAGTAAAATCTAAAAAAATATTATAAGGCTTTATATAAAGGTATAAAATAATATAATTAGGCAACTGACATCATTATTCTCTGGATATGACTCATTATTTTCGCTCGATCGGAGCCGTGTATAATCCGGGATTAGAGTCCCACACAAATGGAGTGCTTTCTTTGCAATCATACGTTCCAGAAAGCTTGTTAGCTCGTTGTTTGCTTAATTATTATGTTTTATTATTTTCTGCGTATTCATGCAATGTGGATGTAACCATGCAAAAATTTAGGTCACCTTAATTAAATGTTAAACCTATTCATAGTTTTATCGTGACTTGCATGAATAAAATTTTGCTGCTCTCTTTGCTTAACCCTGTACTAATTATAATACATTATAGTAAGTTAAAGGTTGCAGTTTGTTAGTGTTTTTAGGTTAAGAGATCAACGTTTTATTTTCGTAAATGATTAATATTTCGATTTATAGGTAACATCTTCCAACTGTTCCATTACATAGGGGAGTTCCATACATACAAAGATCCATACGTAAAGTCATCCGTAGTTCTAATACTAGTCTAGTAGGTATATTATTTAAAGTTCTATAAAAAAACTATTTATACTGCAGTATAGCCTATATTTATATTATATACTATATACTTATATATTACATACTTATATATTATTTATACAATATGTATAAAAATAATATTATTTGTTAATTTTTCAAATAAGTTAATCCTTTGCCCGATTTGCCACAGTAGCATCTCTATCGAGGTTGACACCCCTCAGCATCCATCCTCGACCTGGTTGTGCTCGTTCTCCTCCAATAGGCTCGTCATGAGCATCTGCTAATTGAATGAGGAACATTCTTCTGGGTTTTGTAGACATATTGGGTGTACTTCCATGGATCAGGAGGTAGGAGAAGATGACCACATCCCCTGCTTTTGCAATGACGGGTGTCGCTGATTCTATAGGATACTTTTTCTGTTAACAAATTTAATTTTTAGGTATATGTTTTACTTGAATATTTCAATAGCGTAATTCGTATAGTTAAGGGGTTGTATTGTATAATAAGGCCCAATAAAAAAAACATTTAAATTCATAAATACCAAAAAAGAAATAATTACGTAAAAACACAAATTATTGTTACCTATATACTTTATATTTTTAGATACAATATTTTAAAATACTAACGCCTAGATAGGCTATATACATAGCTATGATGTGTTGTTGTGGGTTGTATTATGTTATAATATATTTTCCTATGTTGCTTTCCAGTCCTCCCAACTATTTCCACACAAAAGATCACGCCAATCGGTCACTATGTTGTGACGTGAAACAAATAGATACTTTCACATTTATAATATTAAAAATATATATATATCTAAATATTAGTATGAATTTACAAATAAATAATAGAATTTTAATTTTTGTACCTTTTTTAATTACAACATCTCAATGTGCTACTAAAATAGTTATAAAAGTATTGAATTCAAAATGAGATAACTTTCTCCAAATATTATGCAAAAAAAGGGATAGAAGAGATTTATAGTTATTTTCATTCATTTAAACTAACCTGATCAACATAATGGAAATGACTTCCTTCTTTAGGCCCAAAATCTTCCAAAGGTCCCAATTTATGGGAGCCGGGATACACTAAAAGCCCACCGTTTTCAGGATTTGCATCATCTAAATGAATGAAAGCAGCTACCATGGAATCATTTTTATATGGAAAGTAGGGGTAGTCCTGTAACAAAAATATTTTTTTCTGAATTTAACAATCTTAAACTGTTTTCCTGGGAGCTATAGTAAATACTAATATTTTGTATATGGATCACTTACACTTGTTTAATCCACGGCAAACTCTCGATTAGCATTTATTGGCCAAAAGACAAAAGTGTATTAATAAGTGAAATAAAAATAAATTTGGAGTTAATTTTAAAAGTTTGCATAATACCTCCAAAACAACTCGTTCACAAATATCTTTCACTTTGCAATTCATTCCAAATATTTTAAACTATAAACGAATATCACCTTTTCTAACATAGAGCTCAAACAGCTTTAACTAGATAACATGGATACAGGAACTAGATAACATGGATATAGTAAACAAACTATGTTTATATTATTTCTAATCTCACTCAATCTTACATAAACTGACCTGATGCATTGGATAAGAAGCTCCCTTTTCAGGCGGTTTAAAGTGTGCCTTAGTATGGTGAAGCATTATGTTCTTCGTTCCCATAACATCTTCGGCTGCATCGAGTAAGTCGTCATTGTATAGTAACTTACCGAATACCGCATGATGCATTTGCAAATTGTGAATACCCTTCACCTAAAATATATATTAAAGTAAGTTAGGTGAAAAGGAAAAATTATAATAATACAGGCCTTGTATTTTTAACACACAAACCAAACCACTCAAGTTGATGATGCATATATAAAACTATCAGAACCCGCGGTTTCCCTCGCACTAAAACTACAACAAAATCTCTAAAAAGGAAGGTTTTTGTATGAAACAAACTTTTATCCTCTACCTTACCTCTTTATAGGATGAATGTCGAAAAATGCTAAAACACGTTTAACACACTTTCACATTTATAATGTTAGTATGGATTTTGACAATGCACTCGTATTATCTTAAGGATGCAAGAGCTGCAAGAAAATATTATTGAATTCTTAGCTCTTAAAGTGTGAAAAATAATGGCATAGTTTGTACAGGTAATATTATTTTACGCCAAATATAATTTCATTAATATTATAATCCCATTATCCTATTAATATTATAAATGTGAAAGTTTGGATGGATGTTTATTACTCAATCACCGAGAATGGCTGAACGGATCTGGATGAAATTTGGCATAGAGATAGATTATAGTCTGACATAGCACATAGGTAACTTTTTATCCCGAAAAAATGTACGGTTCCCGTGGGATAGATTTGTTTTTCGCTAATAGTAGTATGAAATCAAGTAACACCAGGTTTAAATAAACTTACCGTATGCGGACTATCACTTTCTCTAAAAGTATCATCACTACCAACCCATGAACTCTCCGTCTTCGCCTGATTTTTTCTTCTGAATAAATTATCATATTCTTCGGAAACTCGTTTGAACTCTTCCCCTTTTATCAACTCCTTTAAATGAATGTAACCATTGTCTTTGTAGAATTGTTTTTGTTCTTTGGTTAACCGAACCATCGCGAATTGAATGAATAAACCAATCAAAAGAACATCATATTATATTTACTTATATACTATTTAACCCTTTAATGCGAATATCAACATAATATGATGTTCTCCTGACCGATTTCGGCCTCGGCGGCCAATCTTATTGAGACTAGCCTACTGCGCAGGAGATATTATAGTGCACAGGTGTAAGCGCAGACACAGGTGCACTATCTATTCCTGTCACTCTCATACTCCGGCGGGACGACTGTTCGACACGACCGGTGAGAGTTAAGGCGCAGGACCGACGGCTTTACGTGCTCCCCGAGGCACGGGGGTGAAACACCGCCAACTTCCCAACTCCGGGCTATTACTGAGGCTTACTACACAGAAAGACTCAATAACTAAACTTGGCCCGACCCGGGACTCGAACCCAGGACCTCCGGGTGTGCAGCCGTACATGCTAGCCACTACACCACCGAGGCAGTTTAAACATAATATAATAGATATTACGTCAATATTCGCATTTCGAACTATAAAGTTTTTATATACCACTAGGTATGATGTAATTAATATATTAATTATCGACATAAGCCTATCATTTGTTTTTCTTAATAAGCCTATAGGTTCGCACTCGGAAGAAAAATAACATCAAACAAATGTTTAGCTGACGTTATATGCATCGATATATAAAAAAAGATTTTACAAAATCTTCAAGTCATTTAAAATATTTTGTTATATTTTAGCTAAATTTAACACACATTATTATGTGCACACATTTTATAAAATAATCAGCTTTCATATCAACCATCATAACGGCAAAAAAAGACCAAATTTTGGAGGTGGGTACCACCTATATATGTCTATATGTATAAACTATAAAATAACATAATACTAGTGGAATATTGTCATTTGTTTTGTTATTGTATTTTGCCGTTTGTGATAAAAATTACTATTTTTTGTTGTTTTCCCGAGCTACTAATAATTGTAGCAATGTAATAAGCAGCATTCAGGCAAATAACTACGAGTATGTAGTCACAGTATTGTCAATTTCAATGTTCAAAAACAATACCGATCTGTAGTGCACAGGTCACAAAATGTTAGTAAAATAGTTTATTTTACAAACAATCGTATATGAAAAAACTTTTAATGGTACGTTTATCACTACATGAGATCATATAACGGGTTAAATTACGTTGAGTTGTGCATAACAAGTAAAGTTCGCGACCTCTCGATTAAAATCAAGCAAAAATTATAATTTATCACGTACATAACGGAATATTATTTGTTATACAAGTGTTATGTAAACTGTATCTACGCTTGTGTAAATATGTCTATGTTTAATGTTTATCTATTGATATTGTCAGCTTCTGATATTAAATTAAATACCTTTCCTATATTGAATTTCTAGGGTTGCTTCAGCGATATCACGGTTTTGGATTTTTGTTTGTCTGTGTTGTTATGTAGTTAGAAAGTACCTAAATCATACAATTTCGTAGAAATCTTGTGCGTAAAGGACTTTGTCTATTTTTGTCATCTTTTCTCACCTTCGATCTCAAATCGATTGGTGTTTCTGGACTCTAATGCCTCTTATTATCTATACAAATATTGTAGAGGCAGAGTTTGTTTGTTTGATCGCGCTAATATCGGGAGCTTCTAATCCGATTTGAATATTTTTTTTTGCATTAGATACAATAGATAGTCAGTTTATTGAGAACGGCTATATATAGGCTATATATTATCATCATACTACCAGCGGAGGAGTAACCATAAATGTCAACAAATCGGGCAGACTTCCATACATTATTGTAAAACTATAATTTATATTATAATATAAAGACATAGCGATGAACCCGAGCGCAGCGAGGGTGAGTCGCTGTATAACATAAAGCCAAAGAGTTTTTTATTCATATTTCTTTTCCACTAACTGCTTTCATAATATAAATTATGCGCTTGAAGTACGACGACGTTTTTTGATTGATGAATAATTCATAGGATACAATCTTTCTATATATGTATTTTATAAATAAAAACCTTCGTGTTTATGACAAAGATCATCATACCTTGCATCCATGTTAGTTTTTATTCTTTAGTTTATCCTATATGGTATGGATGGGACATGATAAAAGTTGATACTATGAGTTACGGATGAGTTTTCAAATAAGCTCTTGTCTGGGCATTAATAGAATCTTTAAGAAACTTTATTACGAAAATTATTAAATTTTGGCAAAAGCACATTATATGTAAGTCTGTCTGTCATCACTAAAAATATAATCAAATCAAAAATCAAAATATCAGGGAAAATAGTTTTTAATTAATTTACCCACACACTTTGCTTGTTGGTTCCGCTGTAAATACGATATTCAACATCAAATTATTACTCATTTTCGGTGAACTTATATTTAATATGGAATCATTACTCGTGGTATTTTCCCCTAATGATTTTATCGACAAGCCCCCACTTGTTTACGGTCGTCCAGTTATTTAAGCATTGTGAACGGATTAAGCTTAATAGATAGGTTATTGATGGAATGAATTTCATTATTTTTTGTTAAATAATTATGTATAGTATAATGCGTTATTTAATGTAAATGTTTTAGTCTAGTTTTTAGTTAGTAGTAGTAGTTTTAGTTCTAGTTGCTTTAAAGTTTTTAGTTTTTATTTCATTAAACGGTAAACCTATTTTAGACATTTGTTTAAAATAGGTTTACCATAAACAGTACAATTTCATATTTGGTAAACTATTAGCATTTTTGGTAAACTATTAGTAATATATTTAAGTCAGTTAAAAATAATACTAATAATTTTGGTAATTGCAGTGTTGCTTACCAAGCAACCAACTAAATTCCATAAAGCAGTTAAATAATCCAAAAGTTGAATAAAAGGATAAAAGCCATTGACGTATAAAACCACAGATACACATTCTCCAATTAATATTGAACAGCTTAATCATCTAGAAATCAGATTAGTATAAATAGAAAATTTCATGTTCAGGGATAAAGCATTTAAATTGCAATACTTAAAAGAACATTTATCTATCACTATAATTTGTAACTTCATAAGGGAGTGACCTCACTGAATTTGCCTTTGTACTGCCTGCGATGCATTTCACGGTGCCTGCCTTCCTTAGCTCTATACGCAAGTGTCTTAACATCTTCAATATTCAATGAAAATTGAACTTTATTACTGTACATTAAGATTCATTTTGCAGAGAATAGAGTATAGAGTTTCGTCCTTTTTATATAAAAAGAATTATGTAACCCTTTTCCAGCATTCCGCCCCGATGTAGTGTTACTGGTCATGTATCTCTACGCGTTGGAGTACTAAGCGTTAATTTCGTCTATACATAGAAAAAAAACAACGCAACGGACTTAGATATGGTTTCTACTAATAAAAAGAGCGAAAAAACGGAGGTTTGTGCATAGTTTGTAAATGTTTTGTAAAAAATGGCTGGGCAGTGTTTTATCAAAAAAACTATTTTGGTACGATTACTTGGCTAATGCTGGCTGTACCTATAGAGATCATCAAAACAATGTACCTACTACAAATTATAGCTAAAAAGGTTTACAGAAAAGTTTGCGATAGCCTGTACCTATATCTCTTAAGGTATGCTCACAATAACTATTTTTATCTATATAAAAAGTACTCAGGGATGCATCAACAGGTGACTTAACCTCACTTCGCTATGGTGCTTCTTAGGGTACCTTTTGTAGGTTTCTAATTTCATTTAAAGTTATGATGTTTTTAACATACATATAATGAGAAAACATATTTATTGGAAGAAAAACAACCTAAGACACTCGTTGGTAATATAGTTTCATATTAGTGAAAGAATTTTCAGAATTGGTCAAGAGTTTCAGAGATTACTCCTACATCCACACTTACATGCTTTCAAAACAGAAATTTTACTCCTTCATATTATTAGTGTAAATTACCAATTGCATATGACCTGATGTAATGGCCTGAGAAAAGCAGTGCTGGTTATTGTATATACATTAAACTTATGTTATTTTCAATAATCCATGTTAATATACTATTCTTACAAAATACATACTAGTAAAACATTTAAATTACTCACGCAAATTATAGTTGAAAAACATTTCCAGTTAAACTTTTAACTAAAATGTTTGGATTTCTACCTTTCAGGAGAAAAACGATTAGTTCAGTTGCAATATTATTAACTTTGCACACTGCATCCATTACGACACGGAGCGAATGGATTGTATGTACATACAAATGTCATCTGGTAAAGGCAAAAGCGCTGGCTTGAAAACCACTTTCTAGATCACACCTCTGTCAATACGCTGATGCTCCCTTTAGGAACGCAGGAACGAAAACTTTGTTTTTAATATATATATTTGAATACTCTAAAAAGCATTAATACGCACAAAATTATATAAATAGCAAATATAGCACAAATTTTCTTTGAAAATCCACATTGAGAGGGAGCATTGTTTAGAACTGAGTTATTGCCGAGATGGTTAAAACAAAACAATTTACTACGCGCCACACAAAACAAATAATAGCAGCATAAGTTTGAATTAGTTTAGTAACTTACGATGAATTGTTAGTACAACGACATGCCTGCTGACTCACGTTTAGAGCTAGGACTGCCTATCAGTACTCAATCAGAGTAAAGTGTTCCCAAGGATGATGTGTACTTTTAAAATAATGTCAGACTTTTGTTACAGAAAAAGAAAATGAAAGCTACAATTTATTCTGTTTATCTGACCTCTTATGATCGAGAGCCTCTTGCTATTCAACACGCGTTCTTTTAACATTGGTCCTTAGTAGCACTCATTATGCCCACACATTCACGAAATGGTATGTTATATTAGAATTCATATTTTTGTCACGCAAAATTTATCTCTTCATTTTTGTTTCTTATAGATTTGGTAAATCAAATTTTGGTGTAATAGAAAAACTGTAAAAATTATGTGCCCTACATTATTTTTTATTTAACATTAATATAGCAAAAGAATCTTTCTATGTATTAGAAAACAGCAAACCGAGAATAAATATGAATACGGCAC